AGCATCGACAAGTTCCAGTGACCGCGAAGTGACCCAATGACCCTGTTGGCGATTAGACTTACAACACGGGGATTTGTTTGCTGCTAGTAAGGTCTGGTGAACATGCGACCAGTGACCTTCAATTGTCTCCAGTGAGCGCTTACTCAACTCGCATAACAGCGTACTTTGATAGGCATTCAGGACAGCTGGATTTGTCAGTTGGCTGGTGTCAATGCACTCACAGCGTCGTCGTCGGCGTCCGCCAAAACGCATCCGCAGGTCAGCACATACAAGTGCATGGTCGGTGTTCACACATGTGCTCCAAATCGAGCGACAGTCCTGGATACAACCTATCCATCGGTAACTGATGGCAATCTGATCGATTTGCGACCAAGGCTGGTTCGAGACTGCTGCGCGCCAAGTCACCCTCCGGCTAGTGCTGTATCGGAAGTTAGTGCTCGCAAGAAATAAGCGGGCATCTTCACACGAATGAAGTAACCACTCACCGTTATCATTATGGGAGCCTACACCACGTTGACCGCCCAGATACATTTCATCAGTGTACAATTTTCCAACTTGAGCGTTCAGATCCCCAGTCAGCAGTACAATGTCTGAGCTTCTTCTGTGGCGAAGGAGCTCGTTCAGTTGGCGGTAGAAGTAGTTTTCTTACCAAATTATCACTAAAGTTTTTGGGCGCCTAGGCAGCGATGATGAATAGACACCTATTAGTCCCGCACCACTTCAAAGCTTTGAACTAGCCAATTAATCGGACCGCACACATCCGGCTACTGATTGGAATCCAATCAACCAGTGTAGCTTCAGCCCGGGGACTCAGCGCAATACCAATACCGGCTTCGCCGGTGCTCGAAGCTGCATCGTCACCGGATAGGCGCAGTGAGAAATGGGTGGTGGTGTCACCTGAATGGGATCACAAAGTGTGCACAGAGCTCGAGTCTTGCAGGCGGGTCTCTCATTAGCAGCAGAGATCGATCGAGAGAGTCTACTTTTGGGTATTTGCTGTCTGTTGACCGATCTGTAGCAATGCGCGTGCATGGAAGCATGCTAATCTGAAGGAGGATCGAGGGCTCCAAACGGAAGTCGATGAACTGAAGTGGACCGCTTGATGGGATATGGGCCTGTTGACAGGGCAGGAATGACGCTCCGCGTTCACATGTGAGCTGCAACTAAAAGGTAAAAGCCTAGCAAAGCAAGGTTTGGGGGTTGAAAACAGGGAAGATAAAAGTGAAGCTGGAAGGGGACGGTGGGAGTGAAAAAGCGTAAGAGGGTAGAACGAATTCGGGAAGTCTTGAGCAATGGTATCCAAACCCCTATTCATTCTGCTCGATGCAGCAGATAGGGCACCGTTGATTATCCTCTGCCGTGGCCATAGCATCAAGAAATTGTTTGAAGAATGATTCATAGTATTGCATGGGCAGGATACTGTCAGGTTGGTTACCCAGGCGTAGACAGGAGAACGATGAGGGTTCTCAACCAAAGCCTTTGTTTCAAGAACCTGACCGCAAGGCAGCGGGTTTGACGTTGGGCTGGATAGAGTCCGTTTTAAGGACCAGGAGGCTGAGTTTATCTGGCCTCTAACCATTGACCAATCTGGTATGAGTAGGCCTTAAGGTGCAAAAAGCACCACCCAGCATAGCTCAATAGATCAATGAGGCACACAAACTACCGGGTTTACCAACGCTGGAACTGTCTCCCAAACTCAGATGTTTCCTACCCCACTTTGGAAATTTTCAAAAATCTAGTTGATCTTACTCTTGGCCCCCATCACTTCGTTGCCTAAACTGTACAACTTTAGGATATGTTAATTATCCCTCCAAACCGGATCAGCATGTTACGTAAACCTGAGGATGCGGGACAGAAGTGAGTACTCTACTTTTTAATTTCCCACGGAGTACATCAACTATATTTGCCCCCATGTTGCCTCGTCGTTCGCATTCAATTGCCACTTACACCACTCTCATTCAGCGGCGTACCTGCTCGATAAATTCTCAAAAATACAACCTACATCTTTTTTTATATTGTAGTTTTGACCTTACCATCCTGCAGGACTTGTCAAACAACAGCTTCTGTACCCGGCATAAATCATTGCTCATTGTTCATTGGCTGGTCGGCGTCGACGATTAGAGCGACGTAAGAAATATTCAGGTATTGGTTGTGCGTAGGTCACCTACATATCGGTCGGCGATTGAAATGGTAAATCTGGTTCAGCGTTTGTTTCTCGGTTCGACAGTCTTGGTCGCACATGCTCCAAATAGCACCGCGCGGTCCGGTCATCCTCAGTTTCGGATTCTACGATCAGTCCATAAGTTGTTTTCACGACAGCCGGCTCCGCCCCAGAGTCTGTAGGTAAACGGACGTAAATAGGGTCTGACTCTGTCACAATTCTGTCCCTGCTGCCATTATCAAAATGTTTCTTTGCCCGTTGTTGCCTTTCTGTAATTTCCAATGCAGTAAATGTAATCGTGTACGCAGGCGTCGACGGAACATTGACTCTGCCGGGCTTCTACCGGTTGTCTCTTTTGGCATGTTCCGGTACGCGAACAGAGAACGACCTAAATACACACACAGTGGAACCTTTAGTTGTTTTGTTAGCGGGTTTTTTCACTGTCTGTATCACCTTCTTTGCCAACCCGCTGGAGGATGGATGATAAGGTGCAGTAGTTATGTGTGTAACATATAGACGACTTAGTGAAGGGGAGCTGCATGTGGGAGAACCGAAATTACCTTATCAAGACATGATCAATGTGAGTTCATCACGAACTGAGGTTGATTTCAGGGGTTGGGAAGCAATGGCAGTTGAAAAGCGATAGCATATCATAAGAGCTGTTATCCAGGGGCGTGAGAAAGCACTGTCGCATGCGGAAAAGAAGCGCCGTGTACACAGTAGCGACAGATGCCGATGGAAGATAGCCTTTCCACTTCTCGCGTATGGTACTGCGGCACATGCAGTCGCGAGTGCCTCAGCCAAGCTTATCTGGTAAACTACCAGCGTATCCACGCGAGGCCAACATCTGAACGTAGACGGGTCAGCATCATTAGCGCTAAAGTAACTTCGCTGCTTCGGATTCCGTTTACTAGTCCGCGCCAATATTGCCCTCAATGTCGTCTCAATTTGTCAGTACGCATACCTGCGCTTATATTTTGTCTTTCAGGTGTTGGTTGTTGCTTGCTTCACAGCAAACAATATTTGACCATTCCATTTTGTCTTTGAACTCTTCTGTTACTCGTCCGCATATTTCCTGCTTATTTTGGCGATTTTTTTACGATGAAGTTTATATCCCCTGATTTACCATTACAGATGACTAGGATCATAATTGCACTACAGCAGATGTAATGCACCTTTATTTGTTTCAAAAGGTTTGGCAAACGACCGATTAGTGTATTTGTTATACTGTACAACCATTTGCTTTTAACTCAAAAGCTTTATCGGGCGAAATGAATTAGCTTATACATGAGTGTCAGTTTAAAATAATAATGTGCAAGCTACATACAGAGGTCGATAAACTTTCATTTCATTGGGAAAACGTTACAGTGGTCAAAGGTTATTGGCTTCGCGTAAAAACCGTGGGTCCCAATTGAGGTCAAATGGGAATTGTTACCGCCAACTCGGCAGTGGATTCAAGCACCACGTAGACTCCCGGGTCAATTCAAAATTCTAAGCCGGAAATCCGCTACGGTGCTATTTTTATGAAAAGTCAGGGCAACAGATTATATACTGATCATTACAATGTCCACTACAGCGTATACAATAGTTCTATTCTCAATGTAAAATCGGGTCCAAACAAGACCAAACGCCGGCACAATTAACTAAAGTCCAACCGGTTACACAGTAGATTACGCAATACAGTCAGGCGCGATATAAAGCACAACGATCAATAGTCCAAACAATCAAGCCGTAAGAATGTCAGCTAATGGGAGTCCTGGCAGCGAATAGGTATGGATTTTGGGCATGCTTAGGTGGAATCCAACAGACTGTGATTTGTCAGTTACAGGAATAAAAATGCTTGTCAGAGGGTAGTTATACACATAGTGGGCAAACTGAAGTGGTCAGCTGGAATGAACTTCGTCACTGATGAAACTTGTCTTTGATACTGAAGGATTCGATGGAGTGATGTTTCTTGTCCATTCTGACTTCGAATCCATCCGCCGATGCGTATCAATCTGGCCGGAGTAAGGCTGGAAGCCAGGCACTAGGCAGCCGTACTCCGACTATCCTATTCTCGCAGTTGTTGTTCTTGGTTATTTCTATAGACTCAGCAATTAGCCTTTGTTGGGCTGATCGCAATCTCTTTCTGATAACGACATTTTCAAAGTCAATTTTGTGGTCTGTCTCTAGAGCATTCATTGCTACCGCCGAGTCTCTGAAAAGAGCTCAATACTTGAGCAAATTCCTCGGAGATCGTGATATATGCCGTCCACCTTCTGAGATTCTTGTGCGTACTTCCCTCACAGTTTGGCTTATATATACTTGCACACAATCTTTGCATAGGATTCTGTAAATGCAGTTAGTTGCTCTATCAAAGGGAAGACAGTACTTTAAATACACAAGCATCGACCGTAGCGTTTTACCCCTTTGGAAAACTACCCTTATGTTCTGTTTCTTCAGTACTCTTCGGATCGCTTCCGAAGTTCTTTCTTTTTACGGAATACCCACTGTCACTATCCAATCCGTGGTTGGCCTTACACGTGGGTTAAGACATTTTAGTAGGTCTTTTCACCAATCGCCTCGAATATCCTTTAGCTATCAAGTTTTTCATCGCCACTTTCTGAGTGGCTATTTTATCTTCTTCCACCGTCTGTTCACATTTCACTCTTTTAAAAGTTATTGTCTTACCTTCATAAATATTCTTTTATTCCATCACACACCATCACCTATCACCCCTACATATACCCCATCTATCCAATCCTACAAAATATTAAACAACAACCCTATCCACAACTCAATCCCCACCTACACCTCAAATCCACTAACACAAATAAAAACAATAAATCAATAACCCATTCTACCCCCCCCCCCCCCCCCCCCCCCCACCCCCCCCCCCACACCCCCACAACCCCCCCCCCCCACCCCCCCCCCCCCCCCCCCCCCCCCCCCCCCCCCCCCCCCCCCCCCCCCCCCCCCCCCCCCCCCCCCCCCCCCCCCCCCCCCCCCCCCCCCCCCCCCCCCCCCCCCCCCCCCCCCCCCCCCCCCCCCCCCCCCCCCCCCCCCCCCCCCCCCCCCCCCCCCCCCCCCCCCCCCCCCCCCCCCCCCCCCCCCCCCCCCCCCCCCCCCCCCCCCCCCCCCCCCCCCCCCCCCCCCCCCCCCCCCCCCCCCCCCCCCCCCCCCCCCCCCCCCCCCCCCCCCCCCCCCCCCCCCCCCCCCCCCCCCCCCCCCCCCCCCCCCCCCCCCCCCCCCCCCCCCCCCCCCCCCCCCCCCCCCCCCCCCCCCCCCCCCCCCACCCCCCCCCCCCACCCCCCCCACCCCCCCCCCCCACCCCCCCCCCCCCCCCCCCCCCCCCCCCCCCCCCCCCCCCCCCCCCCCCCCCCCTCCAATCCCCCTCATACAAAACCCCCCACACACCACCCAAACACCCCCCCCAACCACCCAACACACCCCTATACTCCACCCCCACCCACTCAACCACACCACCACCCCACCCAACATCAACCCCAAACCCACCCACCCAAACCCCCCCCACCCCACCCCCCCAACCCCCCCCACACCCCCCCACCACCACCCCCCCCCCCACAATCACCTCTCCCACCCCACACCCTCACAACCACACACCCCCCACCCCGTCACCCCCCCACCCCCACCCCCCCCCCACTCCACCCCCCCACATCCCCCCCCCCCCCCCCCCCCCCCCCCCACCCCCCAACCAACCCCCCCCCCCCACCCACCCCCCCCTCCCCCACCCCCCCCCCCCACCCCCCCCCCCCCCCACCTCTACACCCCCTCCCTCTACCCCCCCCACCCCCCCCCCCCCCCTTATCCATTTCTTTCAAATTGCTGAGCTCAGCGAACACACAGACCACCAACGGAACAACCTGAGCTACCAACATTTGCTTCTATATCACATTGTGTTTGTTGTTTGATGTTCCCGGTGTGGCAGCGCTTGGTATGGTAAGGTGCTCACCTGTCGAAATACAGCTACCTTGATTAGGCTAGCTCCAGAAGACAGTTGTCGTCACCTGGGAAGACGGGATGCACCGTCTTGGTAATCATGCTAAGCTCAAAGTGTGGTTCCATGCTTCCAGTGGAACGGAGTACGGCGCAGCCACCAACTTCTGTACGTCTGGTACGCATGATTCTCCAATTAGATAAACAACAATGCTGCTGCTGTGCTTCTCGAAAGAATGTGGGCCAACTCGGTTGATGAAACGTGGCTCCCATCCACATGCCTCTCAATCTAATTCCTTCTGGTTTACACTGAATATGGGGTGTGTGGATAGTGCTGTGGGTGGGGCAGCGCAAGCCACCCATGGTCCCGCTGTAGACGCACGCGTCCTGTGGCCCTCCCATGGAGACCTCCGGGACAAACAAATCCGGAACCGAGTGCCGCCAATATTTTATATATATATATATATATATATATATATATATATATATATATATATATCAACTGTCCAAATAGTGGAAAGGGAGATATCAAGAAAACCATGGGAATCAAATGAAATACAATTTGCTCTATAATAGAACCAACAACATACTTTTCTTTGTTTTTTACACGCCGAATTTTTTCTCATTTTATCCTCTTACATGCTTGCACTATTAAAGATGTGGATCGATGCAATTATGCATACAGATCTTCCACTTATTTCGGTTACGTCTCTTGGCTTTGAGCATGTCAAGCCACGGATATTCCGTATCCTTGGGTCCCCATTCAGGAAGACGTATGGGTCCAACGGCGGCAAAACTTTACTACAGCGAGGTCATATGCTGTCACCAAGTGGATGGCTAACCACCACGCGGTCGCCTCCAGCCCGGTCCTGCGCAAGCGGATGGAGCACAGCGTCGCAAACGATCAGGTGGCTTGGGTAAGACGTGCCTGATACATCTCAACCGGTACAGTAAAGCCAGCTCGTTGAAAGGAATATTCGCATTCCCCAGGACGCGACTTCTAACGTCATCAATGTGAACTCGGTATTGCCCCCACACATGAGTGATTTTCCTCAAGCAACCGCTGTCGAAGGCGGAAAGATGGCGCATATCCTTCACGCAAGTTGTACAGGGCTTGTTTTCTTACGACAACCCTGAACGAACTGATACATTGTAAACGCTGCACTGTACCGAGACGGAGACATAACGACGATGCCACCAGTACCTCCAATTGACAAATGCTGATCGAGCTCTAGCGATGCGAAAAACAACCTTTTTGTTAATTGTGCAACCGGAAGAAACAAAACTCCCAAGGTAGACGAAAATAGCAAGTTGTTCAAACCGTGCATCTCCAAGGCTGAGCACGGGAGCAGGTGCGAGAGGAAGTTCATCTGAGCCTGCAGGCTTGGATCTCTTCAAATGTCGAACTTCGAGACACGCTTCTGCTTCTCTGGGTGGGTCCAGTGAGGCTGGGTTGGGCCAAAAACGGATACTACTGCTCCGCTGTAGGAGAGATGCCGTCCATCTGGATTTCTTGAAGACATTCGACCGACTGGACCACTTCACAAGCTTCAGAATTATATAATCGGTGATCGCGTTCTGGGTTGGATAGACTACTTTCTCGTTCAACATCACCCTATTGGAAACAATCGAAGTTCAGTGCGGCCTACTTCAGGTCGCAGTACTCGGGCCCCGCCTGTTCCTGGTCTTTATACATGTCCTCTCAAGCATACTATCTTCAAACTGTCTACTATTTGTGGACAATCTAACTATAAGGCGTGCTATCGCTTTAGTGGAGAATTACACAGCCTTACAAGATGACCTGGACAAAGCGTACACTTGTTACACCGAGAACATGCTGCAGTTTAACGAGAGCAAGTGTAAAATTCTGAGCATGCAGCATCAGAGTACTCACAACTACCGCTTAGGGCCACAGAATCTACAGCAAGCTTCCCATGAGTGAGGTCTTGGCGTGCTCGTGCAAGAGGACCTTGTATATTTGAGGCAGACTGAAAACGCATCAAAGAAAGCAAGCCAGCAATTCGACCTTCTTCGTAGAGCCTTCGGGAGATTTGTCGCCTCAATCTTTCCGAAAATGCTTAGTGCGTACTTGACGCCGCATGTGAAATACGCTATCCATGCATGGCAACCCTGGCGAACGCGCTACCTCACCGCGCTCGATACCGCACAACGCAGGCCGACAAAGGACGTCAGCGATTTGTCCCGTCTTCCCTACCCGCTCACGCTGAAAACTCACAAAATGTACAGCGAACGTTATCGACGTCTAAGGGGCGATCTCGTAATGCTGTATCAGACCCTAAAAACCCCAACCACACATGCCACTCTCTTTTGAAACTCAGTCAAAACCCATGTCTAAGGGATCGTCAGTTTAAGCCGACTGGAAGGTCGACGAAACTTTTTCTTCCTCCGAGAGTCACAGCCTTGGAACGCCCCACCGGTGCAAGTAAGTAATGCTACTACTTTATCCCTTTTCAAAAAACGACACGACGATACTCGGATACAGTTACACTACGTGATATAGTCTATGATCATCAGATGATGGTATTAGTGCACAATAAACACTGGAAAGTATCATAACCCTTAGAAAATCCAAGCAAGAATACTCGCACATGTGCTACTCGAAAGCACTTGGCGAGTCATGTATGTCACAGTGCTTTTACTGGCGCCCCTTTTTAATTTTGTAATTATCACTCTAACCATCCTACGGGACATGTCAATCATTCTCTTCTATATAATTCATAAATCATTGCTCCATTACATGGAGGAGGACCACTGGGAGCATTTTCGCGGATTCTGTGCGACTGCCACTTATAAAAATTGGCGTTTTCTGTCCATTTGCACATGGCACCACCACTTGTTTATCCAAGCACGGTTGTAAGAAATGCGATTATGCCTTGGTCTGCGTTGTTGATGCTACGTTCAGCGCCCTCGGGTGAATGTCATCGATTTCGATAGAAGTGCATGCGCGCAGAGAGCGCAGTTTCCCCAACGCAGTTCTAGTGGTAATGGTGATCTGTGCAAGTCTTGAAATTGGGGTGATGGGTCGGGTATGTGACACCAGCAGACTCCTCGTTGGAAGGTAGAAGCATACTGCATCAGTAGTGCATTGGCTGCTTCTTCAGCGCCCTGTGCGACTCTAGCTATCGTGTTCATAGGGGGATATGGTGTTTCAATTCGCGGATGCTGTTAACATGCTCATATAGGGTCAACTTTACTAGCTACTTTGTTCTCACGGGCAGGCGTATTACAATGGTTGCTTTGGGTCACCTAGCAGCTCCAGGTTTCCGGACCAGGACGGGTTGTATAAGTTTATCAAGCAGCATTCCTTAGTTATATGCGTTGCTGAACTCTGCTTCTAATGAACTACTACGTGTTTGTGGAACGACTATTGCTTAGTTTCTGAAGCAGTTACCACAATTTCGCTGAAAATTCAAACGAACGAAATCCAAGCGCTGCCAGGGAAGCGAATCGTTATGAAGTCCCAGCCGATCATCGCAACCAGGTCTGTCAGGATGTTGTCGCATGTGATGGTGCGGTTGGTTTATTGTGTTCCTCCAGGAGCTCAGCGCAACATACATAGTTGTAAAGTATGGTGACATTGTCGTTTAGTCCTAGTGGAGTGCCTATCAATGGTTTGTCGACCATGAGCTACACTATTCCATTTAACGTTTTTGTCATATGTGATAACCCAACTCAATTAGTGCGTCGTTACATGATGTCAGCATATACCAAGATTCAATCAGACTGTGCCAATGTTCAACCAAGTTTCGGTGAGTCATGCGCCCGTGAAGCATAAAACATAACTACGTCCGCTGCCCTTAAAGAGTGCACTGAGTGCACTAATAAAACCGGCCCTATCCATCTATTGGTATTCTATTCACCTACTGGGGTTTGTTCTGCTCATATCAGTTTTCTTTCCTCCTGTTGCGGGCCCGTCAAATATCCCCGCAAAAACACGCCAGAAACTCCGGCCTAATGGCTATGGAAAGCGAGGTCCAATTCCTTCCCACAACGCAGCAGCGTTCAGCCACTCCGGGACGCGGCCCAACTGCGCACCTGTTGACAATATTCTTTTACAAACTACCACCCCGTCGTGGTAGCAATTTTCCCTAACTTAACGACCCATTACATTGGCTGTGCTTCGCCCTTTGTTGGTCGTAAAAGAGCCTTCAGAGGACCACCTGCCTTTCTCCCTCTTCGCCGTAGTTGGGAGTCAGTCGGATCACGTGATTTTGGGGGCGTCGATAGCCGGGCAACGTTCGCGCCTAAGGCACTGGCACGCATCTACCGTAGCCCCCTCTCATGTGTGTGCGCTCCGCGGGCTTAGCGTCTACCCGGATACGTGCGGCTAGGATCGCTCTCACGCTCGCTCAATTTCCGTCTCACCAGCGCGTACTCCCGGCTGAGCTAACGCCATCAGGTCAGCGCAAATCCGTTAGATTGGCTAGCCTTCCAAGCCGTTCTCGTAGGCGTGCTCTAATCGTGCTAGTGACAATCTTATCAGGCGTCCCTCAATCGTAACACCTGCTCATCTTTACTTTTAACTAACATTTACCTTTTCACACTACCAAGCCTACCTTACAGCTCTCATGTCTACATGAGTGAAAAGTTGAGGCGAGCCGACTTTCTTCGCACTCTCCTTCTTATCTTATTAATCGTTTTTACTCGTGAGCACAAACCGCACAATGTCACTAAAAGCTGATATGCAAAATATATTGAATGCTCAGTATCATTCGTTACTACCCGCTGTCAGTGGCGTTATGACTGCTTTTGCTGCCCGGGGCAGTGCTACGATTTTCATCTATCCCGCGGAGTTTGTAACCCCTAAATCCTCACAATTGTGAACAGTCCTTCAATATTTCACTCCATAGAACCA